TTTAGTAGAGAGGAAACCACATAACTGAAAAATGCTTAATGCTGAATAAAAACATTTCAGTTAAAATAAGCATTTGAAGACACACCATCCAAGAATGACCCACTTAAGAGAAATAATGAGACGTAAAATTAACCACTAACCTGAAAGGAAAGGAACCTGGCTGAACTTAGTATTCCTGTCAATGCTAAGTGTGAAACATAAAGGTCAGCTTCGGTTTGGTTGGCATTTAAGATGTGAGCAGTATGAAATGGCTACAAAATAAGTTAAACATTTAACAATCTGAATTTTATATGTCAGAGAGTGGATTTTTTACTTAGTTCATTGGGCAACACAAAGCTCTAAAGATACCTAAGCAGAATGCCATGATCTCAGCTTTGTGTGTGGGGGCGGGGGGTGGGAGGGTGGGGGGTGTGTAATCTCTAACTTTTCCTTGTTCTAAATTCAAGTGAGGATTTGCTTTCTGGAATTGACTTTCCTGTCTTTTTTTTTTTTTTTCATGGCTGTCCTGGTTCTTCGTTGCTGTGCCAGCTTTTCTCTAGTTGTGGCGAGCAGGAACTATTTTGTAGTTGAGGTGTGCGGGCTCCTCATTGTGGTGGCCTCTCATTGCAGAGCACAGGCTCTAGGGCATGTGGCTTCAGCAGTTGCTGCACATGGGCTCAGTTGTTGAGGCTCCCAGGATCTGGAGCATAGGTTTAATAGTTATGGCCCACAGGCTTAACTGCTCTGTGGCATGTAGAATTTTCCCAGAACCCCTGTTGAAGCCATTGAACCCATGTCTCCAGAATTGGCAGGCAGATTCTTTACTGCTGAGCCACCAGTGAAACCTACTTTCACCTTTATTTTAAAGAAATTAACATCATGGCAAGCAAGTAGAGAATGTGACATTGGATTGCATCCTGATAAAAAAAGAAAAGAAAAAAGGTGGGACAATGGGCAAATTTGAATGAAGTTACTAGATTATACTAATTCATCAATGTCAATTTCTTGATCTGGGTACCTAGTGCGTGCATGATTAGTCACTTCAGTTGTGTCCGACTCTCTGCGACCCCATGGACCATTGGCCAGCCAGGCTCCTCTGTCCATGGTATACTCCAGACGAGAATACTGGAGTGGGCTGCCATTTCCTTCTCCAGTGATAAACTATGAAGTAAGTGAAGTGAAGTTGCTTAGATGTGTCCGACTCTCTGCAACCCCATGGACCATGGCCAGCCAGGCTCCTCCGTTCATGGGATTCTCCAGGCAAGAGTACTGGAGTGGGTTGTCATTTCCTTCTCCACCGGGTACCTCGTACTACTGTGATTATGAAAGGAGCTCCTTGTTTAGGAAACACACATTGAAGGGTGTAAGTGTAAAGGGACATTATCATATCTGCAACTTTGTTTTAAATGTTTCAGAAAAAAAATTGTCTCCTTAGCACACACAAAGTGGGAGAAAGAAAATAAAGCAAATGTGATGAAACACTAACCTTTGGGCACCTGGATGAATGGTGCACAGGTATTCTTTGTAATATTTTTGCATGTTTTTTGAACGTTTGAAACAATGTCAAAGAAGAGTTTAAAAAAGAAAAGTAGTATGTCCACAGCATACATCAGGTTAAGAGATGGCTAGGCTGTGAACGTTTGCACACAGCATACTGACAATCTACTTTAGAGGAGTTTTGGAAGGTAGAAACTACCAGAGTTTAATGGGCTTTCCAAGTGGCACTAGTGGTAAAGAATCTATCTATCTGCCAATATAGGAAAGGCAAACAATGCGGGCTGGAGTAAGAAATGGCACCCCACTCCAGTATTCTGGCCTGGAATCTTCCAGGGGCAGAAGAGCCTAGCAGGCTATATTCAGTCCATGGGGCCATGAGTTGGTCACAACTGAGCACACACACCAGAATTTAAAACATAGATATTTTTCAACTCAGTAACTCCTCTTCTGATATCTATCTTGTGGAAACATATGCATATGTGAGCAAAAACATTTAGTGCAATGCTATTTTGCATTAGAAAGGATAAACAGAACTTCCTTGATGGTCCAGTGGCTAATAGTCTACATTCCCAAAGCAGGGGTCCCAGGTAAATGACTGATCCCTGGTCGGGGAACTAGATTACAGTTGCTGCAACTAAAGATGCCATGTGCCACTAAGATTTGGTGCAGCCAAATAAATAATTATTTTTTTTGAAAAATAATATTTTTTTTAAAAAGGAAGCAAAAACAATAAAAATTTGTGTTTAAAAAGTAGCTAAATTCAGGTACATTCACACTAAAGAATAACAGGAGACCAAATACAGATGTATATACATCTGATATGACCCCAAATAGAAAGGTCTCCAATAGATGAAAAATTAATAAACTGAAAAACTGTACATATGGTAAAATTCCATTTATGTTAAATTGTCCTTTATATTTAAAAAGTAGATAGAAGTTGTAGATGCATAGAGTAAGGTCTAGATGCTCAAAAGACAGTGATGACCTCTGGGAAGAGAGGAGAGTTTGTAGAAAAAAGGTGATAACACCAGCATTAAGTGCTTATTTTAAATACATCTGTTTTTCTAATGCAACAAGATATCTATGTATTACTTATGCAATTAAAAAATAAACATCACAAAGTAAATTCAAAAACAGAGTTATGAAGGAGGGAGCCTTCAGCCTGCGGTAACAGTCTGATGAACATAAAAGGGAAACAAATTGGGTGGTTGCAGAAATGGAGACCAGGTGGTCAGCGTAAGGGAGAGAAGTTTAGAGGTTGGAACTTGACAGCGGGTACCATGTGAGAAAGGAAGGTGGATGGACCTCAGAGGACTGGAATAGTGAGATTTTTTTTTTTATCAGAAACAGAAAATAAGAGAAGCCACTGATTTGTAAGGAGGAGATCATTTTTATTTTGGAAAGATCGAATTTGCAACACTGATATCCAGGTAAATACTGCAAGTTTCCTAGAAAGACATAATACTTAAAGTACACAGATCAGAACTACCCTGGGTTAATTGGCTAAATTCTCAACATAACAATAGAAAGCAACTGTTAGTGGACACTGATTGTACTGCATTATGATCATTGTGCAATGTTCCATTTGTAGTTATATATACACACTTAATCCTGGGATAGCTATTTATATATATTTGGGTAGTAAAACAGATCTTAGGAGGCTGCAATGTTATATTACATAAAGAAATTCATTCACATTATTTTCAAGAAATAAATTCTTACAAAATGAGACCTATTTTCCATTGGGTACATATCCCACTTAAAACTGCATGGAAATCAAACTCCCTAATATGAATGAAATTTGCAAGGATAAAGAAAAGAGACTATAAGGAAGTGTAATTATTATTAATACAAATTTAAATGGTCTAAGTCTTTTTCAAGACACTTTTTTCCTATCACAGTACCATTAAGATACTACTGCCCTGGGTCCTAGCAGGATGTTAAGTCTACCGATAGGGTGACTTGTGGGGATTTTAAAGTGGTTCAGATGGCTAAGCTTTTGCAACTAGAGGGTGCTGAAAGACCACAGAGGATTAGATACATCTCATTTTGTAAAGATTTAGTAATTAGTGACTCTTTTACAAATTAAAGTCTTCAATAAAATAGCTTTGAATTACAGGTTGCAGTTTGCATAAACTGTATGTAAACACACTTTATTATTGAATTAACCATCCAAGATCTCAGCTGCTACGAAATTCTCCACATAATGTAAATATACTTATTTGGCCTCATGTTTATGTTACGTGGATTACTGATAGTATTAGCTATGGAGAAATAAAAAGGTACTTTGGCTCTGATATTACTAGGAAATTCAAGTCTTATAGACCAGAAAGTACTTATTTTCAAGTTGGAACAAGATCAAAGCAAGTATAATTTAAGTAGTCCAGACTTTCAGCAAGAAAGAAAATGCAACTAGAGGTGAGGCCTAATGAAGTAATCATTTACTTAATTGTTAAATGTTTTGTAACAAGTCAAACATTATTCAAATAAGAAAAAAGGAAATGAAAAAAAATTAATTTTACTTTAAAATATGCTAGCATCTTAATAAGATAAAGAAGCTAAATTCTTTTAATGATTTTAATTTAATGATAATGGATTTTTCTTCCTAACTCAAGTTACTTCTAGTAATAAGGTATTTTCTTCTTGGTTTCTTAAAAATGGTATGAAATCACAATATTCATTACTATATTCCAATTTAAAATATTTATGACTCTTTTTAAGGCACAATGATTCCGTATACTCTGTATCAACAAAATAAAATCCATGAAAATATATTTAGGTTTTAAAGTGGACTAAATAGAATTTCTTTTATCAGAAATATTTAATCAATATATCTACTTTCTTATCAGAAACCAGAATTCAGCACGAATGTAGGTAAATCTAGATTTCCCTTTGTTTCAAAATGCTTACTGGATTTTATTGTCTGGCATGGCCAACACGGGCACACTTTAAAATTAGCTGACTTTACAAATGAGGAATCTTTTTGAACTTTATTTCTCCACAGCCCCCACATAATTATAGCTGATATATTTCTACTTATAAAGTTATACCATATGTAATATAATTTTGCTTATCTGTATTAATACCATCTAAAATTATACAAGAATAAGATGGCTTTCTCTGAAAGTTACAAGGAAGATTTGAAATGCTACATACATTGGAATGCTGATCTTAACAGGGTTCAGCGTGCATACCATTTTATTATCAGAATTATCAGAAGTGTTTGCAATTTACACTAACTGGAGAGAAACGTCTGGATTTTATTTTATGTAGTATGCTTATCCTTCGTTTATTCCTAAAGCAATTATGTTTGCTTTACCTAAGTACATCATGATTAGAGCACAGACGTAACACAATCATGCTGCCATTCCACATGAAGGTGCCATGTTTGTGTTACAATCCCATGGCATCCAAAATGCAATACACTGCTATGAAAATGCAAAGATTGTTCACAGATTGGCATTTATGAACGAGGTTGGTCACAATGCGATGGGATTTTACTTCATATGAATGGAAACGGTTTATCATAAATATATAGACCAGTAGATAACATTGAAGAATAAGAAGCAGAAAGGAAACAAGGCTCTCGCATAAAGGTCGATTCTCTTTGCTGCTGTTGGAATAACGGGTTTGGCCGGAGGCGGCTTCTTGTTGTTCTTGGCCTGAGACTTCCCAAGTCCGTTGTTGACCTCAATGGGTTTTCCATAGCAGTCATAATTGGACAATTCAAAATCTCTCGGTAAGCTTCCCACGATGCTGAAGTCATTTGATCTCAGATCAGACTTGGACGTACAAACCTTTTTGCATCTTGTCTCACCAACCTGAGAATAAAAATTAAAGACAGGGTATTGAGAATTTTTCTATTTATAAAGAATATTTAAAAGCATATTTTTAAAAATTTGATGGTTTATTCAGTTAGCTAGTGTCTCATTTAATCCACTAACAGAAATAACAGCCCACTGATTAAACCACATAATTACCTGAACATTTATGGCTCTAAAATGTTGCCTATATAACAAGGTTTAAGTCATGGGCATCAACTTTCAGGAGGTTGTTTTATGTGAAGGGATCAAGGTATCTATCATCCTTTATCTTAGGTGCTCCCAGGCTTGTGAGAATTCTCAGCTGAAAGACTGATTAATAATAAAAACCCAACACTGAACTATGACACACATCATATCAGTAGACTATGCAGAATACAAACATCTTCTGGTGCTTCTAAGCTTTGACTTTCCTAGGGATTCTATTTCCAAATTGAGTGGTTTATAAATGACTGAAGCATGTATCCCTTCAGTGAGACAGACTGTATCTATAAACCACACTCACAAATAACTAAAAATGGTCACAGTGATCATGAACCAAAGGCTGATGAGTGAAAGGCATTCATCACTTGTTGACTAAAGATAAAATAGCTAGAGAATCCAAAGAAATTGTGTATATTTCAACCAGATCATATCCTACCGAGACTATTCAGGTAATCATCACTGAATTTCTAAATTTGACTCAATTTCCTCAATATACAAAATCATTATTTCACATTGAACTCTCTCTGGCCATCAGAAAAGCTCCTGGAAAAGACAGATGTATAGTGCTGACCAATGGTTTAAGGAGTGCCTCCACTGCTTAATCTTCCACTGTTCTTACTTCCAACCTTTGTGATTCACCTTTGGAATCTTCACTAAAATATCTACTACTTTTACCAAAAAAGGAACTCATGTTACCATAACTCTCAGCATACTAGAGTTACACTAGTTTTTGCCTTATTAGTATAATAATGTTGAGTAATTTTTAAAATTCTATTTACATTTACTAGATTCTGCCTGGGTAAAAATGATGCTTAATGTAAGACATAAAACAAATTATTCGCCAGCAGTCTTTCAGGTACCAGGACACTGTCCTTTATCTGAACAGACACTGAAGCATCCTTTCTGGCAAAGTCAGGTGGCACTGTTTAGAGGTGGATAGCAAAGACAACCAACATACAATGAGTGAAAAAACAAGTGAAAATGTGTCTACACATCATCCTGGCTTTATGCATTTAAGTTATTTCTATATTTTTCAATCTTGAACAAGCACTAGTAATGCTTTTTTAAGCTGGTTTACAATTGTTGGCTTTACCATTATATCATTAGACCACATAGATATTTGTACAGTCCTGTTGGGTAAGCACTTTTGAGAAAGATGTTTAGGTAAATATAATAGTACAAAAGCACATAAGAAGTGGACTTCCCTGGTTAAGAATCTGCCTTCCAATGCAGGGAACATGGGTTCAAGTGCTGGTTGAGGAGCCAAGATCTCACATGCCGCACAGAAACGAAGCCTGTATGCCCACAGCTACTGAGCACACGTGACTCAAGTAGAGAAGCCCGGCTACCACAGCAGAAGAAGCCATGTGTCTCAGCTAAGACCATGCAACCAAATCAATAAATACCACACAAACAAACAAAGAGCATACAAGAAACTGTTAATGAGTAGGAATGGGATTGAGGCTCTGGAAGTTCATCCTTCTTGAATGTCTTGTAGTTAAAAAAAAATGGGAATCACCAATATATTAAAATATTTAGAAAATGTCTGTTTAGCTCCATCCTGGTTTGATAGGACTTTGAGCTAAAGGGAGCGAACCTGAAAAAAGGGGATTCCTGATCCCCGTTTTTTAATGTGTAATTCCAGTCTCCCCAGTGTGAGAGCCCGGTGGGGCTTATAAGGGAATTATGTCTTGATGGAGTCACCACTGATCCAGAGTCTGATCCAAATCAGTTTTACACAGCACCTAGGAAAATGTCTGGAGAAAATAAGGACTCACCAATATAATGAGACAGAACAAAGCCAGCAACTAGAATCGAAGTAATTTAAATGCAACTTTGGGAAATCATTCATATATATGCATGAATACATATATTTAATATTTACTTCCAGGTCTTCTATTTAAATTCCCCAATTTGAAATCTTAAAGGTCGCTTTCAGCAAGCAGTCCGGCATCACACACACACACACACACACACGTTTCCACTCACACACCTTCCCAGTAAGTGTCACAAACAGAAGACACAATTTGAAGCTCCAGTTTTTCAGTGTTGTTTGAAGGATGTGTAAGCGAACTGTATAAAGACTGAATCACAACCTGCACTGGAACAGAAATGGGCAACAGCCTGTATGTAACAAACCTTTGCATTATTATCACTCTCAGAGCAGCCTTCTGTGGGTACTTCAGACACTTCCTCCCTTTAGAATCCTCCACTCGAAAAGCACTAAGGATGCTTTGGAATCCATATATCAAAACAAAGGAGGACTTAAGCTTCTGACAGAAACTCAGGAAGCATGATTGTTATCAGTTTCTTTTTTTTTTACTTCTTCTCAAAGAAAGCTGTACATATTTACTACAGAAATGCATTTACTCTGAGCTGTATTTTATTCATGACTTCACGAATGGTTTCATTATCTGTAAGTAACCAGACAAGTAGCCAAATTTATATGATACTAATCTAAGTTATACATTTAAGCACCTCAAATTTTCTAGTTTTTTAACATAAATTTATTCTTATTAATAGATTCTTCCAGCAATGTTAATCATTCTAAAATTGTATTAATATCTATACAGTTTATTAAAAATGTAGACAATGTATATTATATTTATTCTGAAAGATTGTTTAAATATAGTAAATACCTAAAAGAAGAATAATTACTTCAATATTAGTGATAACATGAAAAAGCACCCCCAAAAGCTTCAGTTTGGTTATACTAAATGTTTAATCATTTAATTTATTAAACCCTTTATAAATGTATTTGAAGATTTTGATATTTGAAATGAGGGGTGTGAGTATGTGTGCATGTGTTGGTGGAGAGAACCTCTACAATGGAAGTAATTTTCAATGATGTGACAGAATTGAATAAGGAATAAAATTAGGTTCCCTACCACTCATAATTCTTTACCTAATTAACTGGTTTCATCTTCTTTTCCTTATCAAACACTTCATACAAACACAACTTTCTTTAGTTATTACTCTGCATATCAATATCAAATCAAATATTTACATAAGAGTATGAAGATAAAATAAATACTATTTTGTACTTACAAAATAAATACTATTTAATAAATACTTAAAATAAATATTATTTAATAAATACTATTTAATAAATATTTACAAAATAAATACTATTTTGAGCATCACAATATCATATGCCTAGGGACTAAATGAACTACTTAAAGTAAGACAGTAACCCTACTTAACACATTCTTAAAGGTGATCTTGGTTCTATGATTCTCTAATTTATAATTCCCCCATTGCTCCTCTTATGAACATGTGACTCATTTACTTTCATCATATAAACTTGTCATTTCTGAAAATCACTGGTAGCAAAAATGAGGCATTAATGCTACAATAATGAGACTGTCAAGGATAAAAATGATGCACATAAGAACTTCCAAAAGCTTCCAACTGTAGCCTCTAAGATTGTCTTTGTGGTCCTTCCCAGGTTGAATCTACACACATGCAAAAGCAAATCACAGTAAACAATATCTTTGTTTTTTAATTTTAGGGAGATGTTGGCTGGAACAAAAAATAAATTCTTTTTCTTTTTTTGTAAACGACAATATTTCTTGGCCCAGAAGACTTAGGTGTGATTTCATGGTGATAAAAATATCCTCTACAGATGATAAAGATACTCAGAGGGAATAATTCCTACATATTTTGCCATATTTAAATCAATTCTTATTTTAAAATACATATCATTATCATAAAGAAATAGCAATCATATTCATGCTACATGAATTGCAGCTCTGACTCATCTTGTGGATACTAGTGGTGGTTTAGTCACTAAGTCATGTCTGACTCTTGCAACCCCATGGACTGTAGCCTGCCAAGCTCCTCTCTCCATGGGATTCTCCAGGCAAGAATACTGGAGTGGGTTGCCATTTCCTTCTCCAGAGGATCTTCCCGACTCAGGAATCAAACCTGGGTTTCCTGCATTGCCGGTGGATTCTTTACTGACTGAGTTATGAAGAAAGACTATGAAGGATACTGCTGCTGCTGCTGCTGCTAAGTCGCTTCAGTCGTGTCTGACTCTGTGCTTCCCCATAGACGGCAGCCCACCAGGCTCCCCCGTCCCTGGGATTCTCCAGGCAAGAACACTGGACTGGGTTGCCATTTCCTTCCCCAATGCGTGAAAGTGAAAAATGAAAGTGAAGCTGCTCAGTCATGTCTGACACTTCGAGACCCCATGGACTGTCCATGGAATTCTCCAGGCCAGAATACTGGAGTGGGTAGCCTTTTCTTTCTCCAGCGGAATCTTCCCAACCCAGGGATCAAACCCAGGTCCCCCGCATTGCAGGTGAATTCTTTACCAGCTGAGCCACCAAGAAAGCCCAAGAATACTGGAGCGGGTAGCCTATCCCTTCTCCAGCGGATCTTCCTGACTGGGGTCGAACTGGAGTCTCCTGCACAGCAGGTGGATTCTTTACCAGCTGAGCTACCAGGAAAACCCTGGAGATGAAAACCTCTGGTCAACTTTTCAACTCTAAAGTATTATTCTATGACTTTAGTATCAAAATGTTCTAGTAGTTTCAGAATCCAGGCATGTATGCTATTACTAGTTGCTAAAAACATAGGGGTTTTAAAATATGTTGATTTATTTAAATGTGTGTTTATTTAAATTATTTAAATATGTTGTTTTATTCATTTGGTAGTTATTTTAAAGCTTGAAAGCCAAATTTAGAATAATTCAGTCTAATATCCTGGATCCTACTTATCTTTTATATCTATGTTCACAGATCATGCTGGCATGTCCTCTATTACTCTGAAAATCTGAGTGTAAAGAATCCATTTCCACCAAGACACTGGTTCATGGAATTAAGACCTAAAATTCTGCTGGCATGTCAGTAAACAAAGAATGTTGCAGCCATTAACCAATCACATAACAGCCACCACCCCCCTCTCCAGTGAGCCCTGAGGGAACTCAGGATGGAAACAGGATGCCCCCCATTTGGCAGTCAGTCCTGCAGCCACCCACAACGATGCACCACAAAGAGACTCAGGATGAGAAAACACAGGGTCCTGGCCCAGACAGCTGAGGTGCACATCAGAGAAATGACTTCACTGAGCCCAGCCTCTTGCATCTTCCTTACAGAGAAAAGAGCTAAATTCATTAACTTGAGAAGTCTGGCTTTTAATCTGTTAAAAGATTAACAATAACCTTTTGTTTCAACTACTTAGTCTTTGTTGTAAAGACTTGTGTAGCCTGGCTCCCCTCTTCCTCTTTGGAGCAGTTCTCTCAGCGTTCTCTGAGATGCCGTCTCCCAGGACTGAAGTCCTAAGAATACCCTCCGGATGAAACACAAGTCTCAACTTTCAGTTTGTGCATTTTTCTCCAGTCAGAAGAATATGTTAAGATTCCAAGCTCATGAGGCATGCTCTGTGACTGGGAATTTCTGCAGTTAGTCAGGCCCCAGGACATTTCAGACGATGGAGCTGACTCTGACACTGCTGGAGACCAGACACCTATCCTTTAGCACAGCTTCACTGTGTGAATCCAGATCTCTTGACCAGGGTTCAGGTCAGTGTGTTGGGGGATCAGTGGGCTGGAAACATGAGGAAGTGGGAAAAGACAGGGAGACGAGAATGGGGGGGTTGGCAGAGTCAAAAACTCAAAAAGTGAGCCTCACCCTGGGGTGTAAGGGCCTCAGGGATCCCTCCTGCTAGTGTCCTGGAGAAACATCTGTGTGTTTCAGAAGGAAATCCTAAGCTTCTCACAAAGAAATGCCAGTTCTTTGATGTGCCAACATGAGCCTTTCATCAGCCATTGGCTCTTTTAGGTACCACTGGGTGGCACTGGTGGTAACAGAGAAAAAGTAAAATCCTGGAGAAGAACCATGATTTCTTTGAGAAGGTATGTTCCTGATGCATGAAGGCAGTAGGTCTGAACTGGATTAGTAGATAGGGGGGCTGCAACATGAACAGACGCTTAAGAGCAGCCCACTGATACATCCCTATTTATTCACGAGAAAGCAGGAGGCAAGGTACAGGTACAAGGAGGATGCTGAGGGGCCCCGAAAGAACGTGGGGCCCTTCTGCTCCCAGGAAGGTTGAGGAGGCACACCCTGGACGTTAGAAAAAGCAAACATAAGGCTGTGGAGGTGGAGAAAAGGAAGCAGGTCAACTGGAGACCTTGGGGGCCAAGGAAGGACATGGTGTGGTGAGTTCTTGCATTTCTTTTTCTCTTCAGATGTCCTAGATTAGGAACAGAAAATGTCAGTGGGTGCAGACAGAAATAGCCCCAATAACAGCCCCTCCTTTTAGACAGAGGACAAAGGAAGGGGCGGCTTAGGAAGACAGAAACCCTTCACACAATAACCTCTCTACTGGAGCCCGTCATCACAGAAACAGCTGTGGCCCCACCCCTATCCACACCAACAAGGACCAGGCAGGTAGCTGCATCCTGCCTTCCAGATGCTGTGACAGGTGCCCAGCCCTCCCTGGAGGGTACTGCAGGAGCCCTAGCAGGGAGCTGGCCCTCATTCCACCTGGACCAGTAACAAGGCCCTGCTCCCTGGGGAGCGATGGGTGTTGGAGGGGATGGTGCAGGCAGGGCTGCCTCCCCAACCCAGCAGCAAGCACCACGTTGCTTCTCCTCTTCCCCTGGGTCATTGTCCTAGGAGGCAGGGCTCTCCCCATGGCCAGGCATACGGAAGCACCCCAGTGTCAGGAGGCTACACCAGGAAGAAAAGATGCCCAATGCCACCAGGGAGCAATGGGAGCCCTCACCTAACTGTGAGGGGCCCATCTGGCAGCAAGGAGACAGCAGTCTTCCTTCTCCTGTAAGGACACTCAGAGGAAGACAACAACAACAGAAAGTTTACAAAAGATGCAGAGCCTCATCACATAATATGAAATGTCCAGGTTGCAACAAAAGAATCACTCATCATACAAAGAGTTGAAGAAGATGTAAAATTAAAATTTAAAAAAATACGATCAGTAGAGATCAACACCAAGGTGAAACCATATTAGAATTATCCGAGAAAGGTTTTAAAGCATGCATGACAAAAATGCATCAATTAGCAATTATGAACATGCTTGAAACAAATGAGAAATGGAAAGCCTGAGAAAAGAAGTAAAAAATCCCAGCAAAGAAAGAGAGAAAAGGAAGGAAGAACTGGAAAGAAAGAAAGAAAAAGAAAAACCAAATGGAAATTTTATAACTGAAAAGCATGTTAAACCAAAATATGAATATCAGTGGATAGGCTCAACAGGAAGATGAAGGGTGGGGAAAAGAATCCATAAACTAAAGATGTAACAGGAGAAATTACTGGGTCTGAACAAAAGGCAGAGAACTGACTAGGATGAGGAGCAGAGCATTGGTGATATATGGGCCCATAACAGAGCATCTATTTCTGGCATCACAGTCCTGGAAGGACGAGGTAAAGGTACTCAAAGAAATAATCACTGAAAAATTTTCCCATTTGGCAAGAAGCCTAAGCCTGTATCTTTTTATTTTAAACTTTTTTATTTTGTATTGGGGTATAGCCAATTAACGATTTAATAGTTTCAGGTGAACAGCGAAGGGACCCAGCTATACATATGCATGTACTCATTGTCCCTCAAACTTCCCTCCCATCCAGGCTGCCACATAACATTAAGCAGAGTTCCATGTGCTATACAGTAAAGCCTGCATTTTTAACAAGCTGAACAAACCCCAAACAGGATGACCCCTAAGAAAACTATATCAAAATACATAATTAAACTTCTCAACAGTAAAGACAAAAAAAAATCTCAAAAGCATCCAGAGAAAAATGACTTTACCTAAAGCAGAAAAACAATGTGAATGAAACAAGGTTCTCAGAAATCACGGAGGCCAGAAGGAAGGAACACACTATTTTTTAGGTGCTGAAAGAAAAGAATCATCAACCAGGAATCCTATTCCCAGTGAAAGCATCCTTTGGGAATGAAGGGAAACCAAGATATTACCAGATGAAGGAAAACTAGACGGATCTGTTATCAGGAGAGCTATCTAAAATAATGGATAATGAAATTCTCTAAAAGGAAAGAAAATAATAAAAGAACTTTGCAAAATCACAATAAAAGAAAGATCAAAGAAATGAAAAGTATCCACAACTACAAAAAACTTTCCTTCTCCCTTTGAGTTTTCCAAATTATTTTTGATGGCACAGCAAAAATTATAACACTTTCTAATTAGGTTCTAAGGAATATTTTCAATAATTCTGTCATATAGAGAGGAAAATAAAAGGTGTTAAGAGAGGTAACATCACATAAATTGGTAACATAATGACATTAAGAGACTGTGAAAAAGTCATGTATATATATAATGTAACACCTAGAATAATGATAAAGCAAGGTAGTGAAACACTTAAAAACAATACAGGAAACTCAAAAAGTCATGCTAGAAACTGTTCAAGCAATCCACATAAAAGAAGGAAAAAAGAAAGATTTTAAAAATATAGAATACACAGGAAATAAAATATAAAATTGACTGAAGCCCTAACATATCAATAAATTCATTAAATTTAAATGATCTAAACATACAAATTAAAACACGATCATGGCAGAGAAGATTAAAAGCCATCAGCCAACCATATATTGCCCACAAGAAACTCACTTCACACAGAATGATATAAACATGACGCATGGAAAAGAATGGAAAGAGATATGCTAAAGACATGATTTCTTTAAGGCCATGATAACTCCACATGAATGGATATTTTATACTTATTCTTAATGAAGAGAAGTAGGGTATAAAGAGCTCTAGGACCTGAGGAACCTCCCTACAAGGTAGCAGTGAAGAATTTGCAAATGGACTTGACTGTAGGCTCAGAAAATGAGTTGATTGCTTAAAAGAAAAACAAACAAAGAGCTGCAGGCAGAACCACCTAAGAACAGTTTACTGGCCTCTGTATTTAAAAGTGTGTCCAACACTCTAGGGCTCAGTGGTGGTGGTGGTGAGCAAATGGACCTGGCTGGGGCTGGGGTAGGCAGGTAGGCAAGGTTTCCCAGCTGCAGAATGCTCTGAACCTGTTAGTCTCTTGTGGAACTTCCCATGCTAAGTTCCATGGAATTGGTCCCCTGGATAAGGGTCTTCTCAACTTGAGGATATCAAGTAGGCATAATGGGATAAGTGGATAGGTGTCTTTAACCCATGACATCACCTGTGGCTCAAGGACTTATCAGTACCTGAATCTGGAGGCACTGTCCACTATTCTTAGCCCCATCATCAAGCAACAAGGCAAGGTAACGGTTTTTCAGTTCTTCAGCTATTCACCCTGCACTGCACATATCCCAAACCATGGATGTAGTTTCCCTATGGACCAGGCACCCAGTAAAGAAGTAGCCTGCCTGACATGGAGTTTGTGAAGCCCTCCAACTTGATGAGGAAGAGGTGGGAGACTGAATCAAGAACACGGGCTCCCTATGCCTTCAGTGCTTCCCCCACAGTCCCCTGGCCATTCATGAAGGCTTGTCACATGAGAAATAGTAGGAAGGTCTGGAGTTTGGGCAAGACCTCCACATTTGATAGTGAACATCATACTGAAGGAATTTAAGCATCCTTGAATTCCACGGAAGTCATCTGGCAATTTGATGGTTGATTCGCTAAGCGTTCTATTTTTTCCAACGAGTAGGCTGGGCTTAATTCCTTCTCATCTGTGAGCAAGAAATGAGTGTGAATCAATTCTACCAACCCTTTACACCCACAGAACGCATTTCACTGGCCGACGTCAAATGTCATCCTTACCTGCAAGGTGCTGATGTGAACAGGTGTGCCTGTGCCATTAACAGTGTTCTTTTTAGCCACGTTTCCCCCTTTCCCATCTGCTTGCTCGGCCTTGGCAATTCTGGCTTTTTCTGCTTCAACTCGCTTGGGGTTATTGAGCATCACCTGGACGACTGCGTACTCCACCAGGGACGCAAAGCCAAAGAGGAGACAAGCGATGAGCCACACGTCCAGCGCCTTCACATAGGACACCTTGGGAAGTTCTGCAGCCAGGGTTGTGCACTCAGAGGCCAAGCTCAGTACCGAGAAGATTCCTGCAGAAAAGAGACCAGAATTCAAGATGCTTATTGCTGCTGCTGCTGCTTCAGTCGTGTCTGACTGTGCGACCCCGTAGATGGCAGCCCACCAGGCTCCTCTGTCCCTGGGATTCTCCAGGCAAGAATATTGGAGTGGGTTGCCATTTCCTTCTCCAATATATGCATGCATGCTAAGTCGCTTCAGTTGTGTCTGACTCTGTGAAACTCCATGGACAGCAGCCCACCAGGCTCCTCTGTCCATGGGATTCTCCAGGCAAGAATACTGGAGTGGGTTGCCATTTCCTTCTCCAAGATGCTTCTTACTCCCATGAAATGTTCTACAATCACTGCTCTTTGATGAAGTCTGTCTCCAGTAACTGCAGAAGGAAATGGCAACCCACTCTGGTATTCTTGCCTGGGAAAGCCCACGGATGGAGGAGCCTGGTGGGCTACTGACCATTCAGGTTACAAGAGTCAGACATGACTTAGAGACTAAACCACCACCACCTTTCCAGTAACCCACTGTCACTCAAGTTCCTTTAAAGGATAAAGAGAAGAAGAAGTACTATGTATATAATTTTTATGAAGCAATTATTTAATGTGGTGAAGATGCATGTAAACACCTAACTTTTTTTAAAATAAATATAAATGTAAACCAAGGTATAAAAACCACCATTTGGATCTTATCTAAATATTAAAGATATCTAAAACTATTCCATAGTATCTCTGAGGAAGCCACAAAGCTCTCTGATTAGAGAAGTTATTTTACTTCTTAGCTTTACTCTCAACATTTATAGAGCTGAGTTTTGCTCCCTGAACTACTAAGTCAGTACAAGAATAGAACATATAAAGCAATTTTCTGATAAGGTTCAAAATTTTTAAAAATCTAATAGAAAAGACAAAGCTGAGAACATCCTGGATTATTTCAGGGAAAAGAAATTATTCTAGTTTTTTAAGGAAAGAATGAAATCTTGCTATATGTTTTATTAACCTTTATGGGACGCTAACTAGTTGTGTATCAATTTAAGTCAAATAAGTGTAAAATCCCAAAGAAGAATAGCAATAATCCATCTCCCTCTTTCTCTCCGCTCCTGCCACACTCCTAAACTTTCCCTTGGTCTTCCTTCCTAAGTATTTTCAGAAGAGGGGCTGGGAAACATGACTCATTGGGACCATCATCACCACATACTGGGCTGGAGCCTCAGGTAAGGTCAAGGAAGCCTCCCTCTAAGTCAGGCAGGAGCAAGTTTTTCTTGGCTCTGAGAGTGAATTTCAATTATGGGGCTATGTGGACCTTTTTTCTCCTAGATGTGACCAGTTCTGAGAGCTAGTGAATATATTACCCTAATGATGAAAGATGTACTTAGCTGTCTTTGCTCTTGCACTGGGAATACAATAAGTACTATACTAGTGTCAATAATCAGCTAAAACATTGAAAAATATATATTCCATCAGTTGCTTCATTTCAGAGGCTTCTGAAAGGTGTGGAGATTTTTTATTTTTTTTTGTAAATATTGAAGCACTAAGAGACTCTCCCAGAAAGAGAGAATTTGTGTAAAATATAACTTCTGCAGATAGAAACAATATTAAGTATATGCATATACATGTATATAAAAATATTACACATATATGTATATAATAATATTATGTATATATATTTAGGCTTGCTAAACATCTCATTTATGATTATAGTAACTATCCTTCTTCTTGATGAAAACTAATTATATAATAGCACTATATTTTAAAACTTAACACAGGTTTTAATGTTTTCTAACCTGGAAGTGAAAAGTAGCATAAAAATGCAAGATCTTCTCAATCATTGCCCTAACCTCAGTTAATTATACTTATGGGCACTCATTTGGTAAGTCATTTTTCCAAATCATTTTTTTAAATTTTTAATCAAATGTTATGTCAACTTAAGCAAAAGGGGCCTTGAGATAGACTATACTGACCATTCTCTGTGTTTTCATAGCATTCCATTCTTATCAATAACACAGAATGTATCGCATTGTAGTAAATTTAGTAGCATACCTGAACCTTTATCTTGACATATTAGAAATCTTTGAATGAAATGGAGAATAGTGCCAGATTATAGAAGGTCTTGAAAGTCCTAGTATGGCTCTCTGATTGTATTTGGTAGAGAAGTTATATTATAAAAAGAATGTTTCAGTAATGTCCCTCTAGTAGGGATATAGAAATAAACTAAGAAAGAGAAAATAGGAGATGCAGAAACAAAGAATAACAAAATGAAAGACAGGATTGATGTAGAAAGAAGGATTTTGGAGGAAACATTTTTTAAAACTTGGTTGCCAATTAAAGAAAGAAGGTAGACGGAGACAAACGTCTGGACAGAATGACTGCAGAAACATGAAATACATAATAGGAATAGGAGGCTATAGAAAAGATGTGACTTTGAAAGGAAAATACCTAGTTAGGTCAGATGAGGGTCTAGAAACAAAAACACTGGTAACCACCACTCAGCACCGGCCACCTGGACTTGTTAAAGGACAAACTGGTCAGTATCATTCGGGGGAGTCATGGTGAAAAGGGAAGGGACTCTGAGGCAGGGATGCTCGGGTGTTAGAAAAAGGGGATCAAAGAAAAGAGAAGAATTAGGAGGAATAGGATATTAACGGACATTTGGGAGGTATTTAAAGTCCCAGGTGTTAAGTTAATAAAAACCACAGTGGCCAATTCCATTAAGATTTGTATCATTTTGAAGAAGTGGGAATGGAAATGGAGATGAACTGAGGGGCATGACCGTGTACCTCGTCTACAGGAAATAATATTAACATAGGAAATGTACATTTGCTCTTTTATCCTAAAATAAGAAATCTGAGAAAATAACATTTCTCTAGACAAATGATTCAGTATTTTCTTAAGACAGCTGTCAGATGGGATTATTTCACTTCTAACTAACCCATAGTGAAATTCTGCCCAAATTTTACTATATTATGAACCAATAAAAAGAAATGTGAAGCCCATCATTCATATAAATGTGGATTTTTATAATTTTAATAATGTGTTCTTAATAAAATATCCCTATATAATGGAGCACCTTTCTAACAAATTTCAGGACTTCTTGGTTTAATATGTCTAAGGAAAGTGAAGTTGCTCAGTCATGTCCAACTCTTTGCGACCCCATGGACTGTAGCCCTACCAGGCTCCTCTGTCCATGGGATTTTCCAGGCAAGAATACTGGAGTGGGTTACCATTTCCTTCTCCAGGAGATCTTCCTGACCCAGGGACTGAACCCGGGTCTCCTGCATTGTAGGCAGATGCTTTACCATCTGAGCCACAGGGAAGTTCATGTCTACAAATGTTTAAAATATGCAGTCCTTATTTGTCATTTGTTAATTTTCTCTTCCTAGTGCAAAAACAAATCAAGTCTAGTTCCAAATCAGGGAATATGCCATAAAATTTATATCAGTTCTGATAAATAGATGTGGAGGTCTACATATATTAAATATTATGGCTGACAAATAATATAAATTATAGCAATAATAAATTACATAAAGAATTGACCTGGACAAAAACATTTATAAAGAATTCAGAGTGAAGAGAAAGTTATTTAGTTCATCAGTATAAAAGAAAATACTTTATAGTGATAAAATCCTTAAAGGACCATTATTTATAGTGAACTCTGATTGACTATGGGATGTCCAGAGAGTTCTCATTAGGCCAATCTCAGAGGAAACATCTGTAGAATGATTCTTTAAAAGCACATATGCTAGAAATGCACTGAATTAAAGAGGAATACCCAAAACTAGAAGACCAAAAAAGGAAAAGAAGAAAAAAATGGGGAAAAAAAGTGTGAAGAATGGAAAGGAAAAGAAAGGGGGTTCTATCCATAAACACACAGAACCAACAGAGCGAGTTTAGGAGAAACTGTACACAGCAGCTACTATGTAAACCTCAAATCGTTTTTATCCCACATGGAGATGAATTACAATACTCTCTAAATTCATACATATGTAGTTGTTACTAATAACATGAAAATTCACTTATAAATATGCTAAATTATTATATCAGCATGTTATCATATCACATCACTCTAACCAAGGACAGTTAAAAGCAAAACTACAATTGCTACCATGTGCAAATCCAAAAATACTTTTGAAATTTTTGGAGGAGATCCTTACAATCAAAAAGATCTTGAACCACTACTCCAGATGATAAGAAAAGACTATACGAAGAAAAAAGGTACTTTACATGGCCTGCTAGAGATCTGAACTGTGACCTGAGTTACTCACCTTTTTACATTTATGATTGAAAATTACTTGTTTTAAAAAATCCTTTTTTAGCAGCAACTAAAGCATTTCATGTACCAGGAAAAGAAAATGTTAAAGATCACTTAGAGTAAGAAGTAAAAGACATTCCTTATAAAAGTATAAGACTTTTATACTTAAAGAAATAACTGAAGACAAAGTCTACCTAAAATTCACAGAGGAAGCTTTGATTTTTGTTAGCAATGAAGAATGTAAATTTTAAAAAAAGGAAGAAAAATAAAACTAGAATACAAAACCAATCTTTTTTTAAAAAAGCAAAATTAATGTAGAGTAAATGTTTTTCTCCTAAATTTTTAAAAATAATATGAGCCATACTAGGAAAGGACTGGAAAATTCATTTTGTAATCTTTGGAAACAATGTAGGGAAAAAATAGAGAAAGGAAATATACACTGGGTCAACATAGCCATATTGACAGAATATCCTGAAATTTAATCTAAGTCAGTAACATGATTTCATTTTTCTTTTTGGGTAAAATTATAAATATGTGTGGGTCTAATAACAGAACTTCAAAATATCTGAAGCATAATTCCATAATTAGAGTTGGAGATTTTGACAACACCCTCATCAATAACTATGACCTAGACAAAAGACAGGAAAGACTTTAAAAGTACTATCAACTAACTTGACTCCATTCATATTTATGAATACTACACCAACAATGACAAACATGCACTGCAAGTGTGCATGAGATGATGTTAGGAAACATATGCTAGGCTGGGCCATTAAAA